TCAGAGTCAAAATGAACACCATCACCTCCCCTGATGAGCCCTGTTTAACTGTTGGCATGACCTCCCTCCTCTATTATTTGTTGTGACGCCATGGACCAGAGCAAGCCAGGCCCTCTATTATAGTTCAAGACAACTACAAAAACTTAAGATCAAATTGGCTCCCCCTCTGTTTGCTAATTTTTTTAACATCTGGGTCCTGCATACTTTTTTGCACTTTTTTGTTGGCCAAATGAAGGTGTCAAAAAGATACCCAATATTATACAGTGATGGACTGGGACTCAAGAGACCTAGACTGAAACTCCCACTTAGCTATGAAAACTCACTTTGGAATGGCAGTAGTAAAACCACTCCTTAAAGAACTCACTTACCTTGAAAACCCCTTTTAAGGTTGCTATAAGTTGGTTTTGAGTTGATAGCATGTAGCACACAATTAAGGCATCACCTCACTATGGATCTCGAATTTATTTTAAGGTGAACACACCTTGAAATGGAAATGCACTGCAAGATTTCTCACTCATACATGAGAGCAAAAAGACTGGAACTTTATTTCATCAGACACAACATTTGCAAAAAACAAAAAAACAAAAAACAACCACCCAAAGCCAAATCAAAAGGAAAAAAACAAACCTAAAACTTTGCTTGATTTATTGAAAGCCCTATTAGGTCACTTAAGACTTAATGGCACAGAACACACATACTCACGCACACACTCTCTCACACACATAAACATCTTTGCTTTAGTGTGAATAGCCAAACCAAGGGCTTTGTTGTGTTTTGTTCAATAATCATTATTGTCAATTTTTCACAGTGCTGAAATGTAAAAATGCAAATGATCTAATTCAGCAGGAAAATAACTTTTGAAATTCTTCACAGTTGTTTGGAAGAATGAAATAAGCCAGGGTTTGCATCCCTAGTATGAAATAAATTGGGGTATTGAATACTGCGTGTTTTTATGTTATTTCATGAAGTTAAATGGACTCAATGCACACTGCCTGTTCCCCTCATAAGCTCCCATGTTGATTGCACGTTGTACACATTGTCCCCAAGAACGTCTCCAGCATATGAGCCTACACAAGAGATGTTCTAATAATTTAACAGATTTACTGGGAAAAATAATAGTAAATAGCTATTTGACATGTCAGCTTTAAAGCTTGTGAAAAGCAACTAAACACATGCATAAGACCAGTACATAAATCAGCCCAATAAAGCAGCTTTGTAAATATTTATGTACTCAGTGCTTTCAGTTTCACGCTTGCTTCCTTTACCTTCACCTCTTAAATTTCCCTTCTCTTTAGTTTATGGCTGTGAGTGGTTTTGGTTGTCTGCCAGACATTGCTTAATTACTTACTGCTTCCTCTAGTATCATATACCATAATCCTAAATCTTCACGGATTCTGATTACCACTGCAATTGGATGCAATTATGAAACAAGTCTCAGTTGAAGTGTTGTGGGAGTAATGGAGGTCTCCTCTTGATGAATTTATTGCTTCAGTGTTAGGAAGCCAGCCACCAGAGCTAGCCACCCAGCAAACTGGGCAAAAGTCCAAGCTCTGGTGTTGGTGAAAAAGACCTCTGTGCCATGCTACACTGCTCTCCACCTCTTCTGGCATCAGTTGCAGTGGCCACAGTTACTTCTTCTGCCTCTTGCTTAGCCAGTTTTGTTTTTTGAAAGCAGAGAATTCTGATAAATAACAATTCTGCTTTCTCTGAGCCACTTGCAACAGCTGCAAAAGTCAAAACAAGTTACTGCACTGGTTCTTAACTTTAGCTTACTCAGGAGTTTTGGACTGCAACTCCCAGAAGCCTTCACCACCAGCTGTCCTGACTGGGGTTTCTGGGAGTTGCAGTTCAAAAGCATCCGAGTAACAAAGATTAAGAACCACTGAGTCACTGGATCGTGGCATTCAGGTTCTAAAAAGAAAGAAAACTGCTTTCAGATTGGATTGGATTTGTCAGCTTTTGGTTTGACAGAGACTACACACACAAATTCAACCTGTGTAGCTCTATACCCCTCAGGTCGCAAGGCGTCCAACATGCTACTGAGGAAGAGCGGAAGACAAGTACAAGTAGCTCCAGAGCTAATGAAGTGGTTGGGCCAAAGCCGAAAGGAAAGGGGACGACAGAGGATGAGATGGTTGGACAGTGTCATCAAAGCTACCAACATGAATTTGACCCAACTCCGGGAGGCAGTGGAAGATAGGAGGGCCTGGTGTGCTCTGGTCCATGGGTCACGAAGAGTCAGACATGGCTAAACGACTAAACAACAACAGCTCTATACCTTGTGACTAGGAAAACATCAACAAGATTTGATGGGTTCTATTTGTTCCTTCAGAACTAAGGTTCCTCTAGCTGTCCAGATTTAGCAGGGAATGACTATGTTTTCTTGGTCCTTCCCATTCACTATCCATCGTGACCCCAATTTTTCTTTTGGGTGTGCACCTATGGCATTTAATAGGCAGGAAGCTAGTCACGGATTCGGACTTACAACCTGTGATAGCTGAGGGCTGAGCTGTGTTTTGGAGTAGGAAACTACAGTAAAGCCCACAGTTGCTGTGTGGAACTGAGTCTGTGTTCACACCAGCAAAATATCTCCCTGGTTTCTCACACCTTTTACTTGTTGAGCAGTAGCTCATTACAGTCACGTGACATATATCCCATGACGTGTGTTCTGACTTTTTTAAAAGTGCTGTAACATTTAAAACAAAAAAGATGTGGTATGTGCAGCTACACCTCTTTAGCAGAACATATCCCTTCCTGGTTTTTCTACAGTTCCACCCCCTTTAAAAAACCATCCTGTTACATCAATCTGTTGAAGTGCAGTGGACAATGACAGAAGTTTACCAGCTCATCAACATTGCACACCCCAGAAAATAGAAGAAGAAGAAGAAGAAGAAGAAGAAGAAGAAGAAGAAGAAGAAGAAGAAGAAGAAGAAGAAGAAGAAGAAGAAGAAGAAGAAGAAGAAGAAGAAGAAGAGATCGGCAGCCAAATGACATCAATAGTAGGAGCAACACATGGCCACCCACAAATAAAGTATTTCTGCCATACATCAAAGGGGTCATGGACCGCATAGGGAAAGGTATATGAGTGCTGTCCTCTGAAGATGCCGGCCACAGAAACGGTGAAACGTTAGGAAGAACAACCTTCAGAACACGGCCAAAGAACCTGAAAAGTCCACAACAACCAATACATGGCAGCTTGCCTGGGAATGTTTTGGGATAGTTGTTCACACATCAACACTGTAAAGATTGTTGCGCGATAAAATCCGGAATTAAAAAAAAAAAGGAGCAGACTCCTGGTGGGCGAAATTTGGTATGGAGATAGCACGGAGGCAGAGCAAAAGAATCGGTAACAGCTATGCGTCATCTGAGCACAAAAAACAAACCCGAAATCTATGAGCAATAACTGGGAAACATTTTGCAAATGCTATACGTTACAGCCCAGCGATCTCTTGCACTGGGTTTAGTTTCTATATAGACCTGTGTAGAACTGAGCTTTTCTGCACATTCTTCTAGGAAATTTTTCGAATGGTGAGAATTACATCTGATCTCACTGTACCCTGCAGCCTTAGCTGGGTGTGCCTTTGACCTGCAACTTTTTCCAAATTGGACTTCAACCCCCAGCCGAGAAAAGGTTCCTCATTCCTGATTTAGACCATCATAGAACTCTTGCACCTATAGTGTGAGTGGCTTGAAAACACTGACATTTCCAGTACATATTGCAGGTAATTAGTGACACCAGGACATTACATGTGTTCCTTCAGCTAGAAACAAGCAGCCTAGCTCAGTCTTCCAGCTCTTTGTAAGTGTAAATCAGTACTAATGGCCAGGCAGTTGATAGGGAGTACTGGCCTCATCAAATTAGTGGAAGGAAGGAATAAAATGTTAGCATGCTATGCTCATCCTCAAGTAGTATCCTTTTACAGCATTGCCAGAAGCAAAAAGCTGAACAAATACATGCTCAGGTTTCATCAGGATATTATCTCAGAATCACATTATGTAGCTAGCAGTGCTGGCTGACACACACAGCTATGTCTGAAATATTTTGTCCCATTTTTCTTTGTAAAATATGTGTTGTGAAACACTCAGAGAATGGTTAACCGCACATGTGTTACAGTGTCACTTTTATTGTTTTTGTCGGTAGTAGTTGCAGTAGAAACAGGAGCCATAGTGATGTTGTGTCGTCATTATTATTAGTGGTGCTGTTGACATTTTATCTAGCATCTTTGCAATGTTAATTATCTGAAGAATCTTATCAGCACCCTTGTAAGCCTGGCCAATATAATTATCCAGAAATTATAAATCAAAATGTGGTACATAAGTAGTGGTTTGTGTAACAGCAATTGTGGGATTCATGGTTGAGTGAAGATTTGAAGGGGAAACGTCTCAACCTGCCCTCTAAGCTGTTCATACTCCCCCAACCTTCTTGGGTCAATTTCCTTCAATATGATAATTTTGATATTGCAAATATATATTTCCTTGCAGTCATTTCTGCAGACTCATTTTTTTGGTTTAAAACATGGCTGAGGAAATATAAGCCTAAGGGAGCCCTCTAAAGGTCTGACTCTCTTTAATCCTGACTTCTATGCCAGTCTGTTTTTTTCCCTTTTTTAATGGAGAATTGGCTACACATTGAAACATCTTGTGTCTAAAGGAGAGTGAATGAAATCAGCCCACTGGTACTCCAACCGAAAGCCTCTTTGTGTAACACAGAGTGTAGCTGGAGCGATTGCATTGTTTGACTGAGGTGTGTGAATTAATCCCACCCCTGTCGCTTTCTAACAGGATAATGTAAAAGCCGTTCTCTGGGGACGTAAAATAATAATTTTTAAATTCTCCTCAGTATTTCACACTCCTTCTTGGTGTTGCTAATTTCCTTCTGAATACCATATTAAAATTCACAATGGCTTTGCAGACCCACCCTAATAGCTCTCCGGTGGTGGCAGGAACTGTGGAGGTGAGAGCTGACAAAAATGCTATGATTTTCCCCCCTCTCCATCTAGGTTTTACTATTCCGGCTTCCACCCTTTGAGAGCTGTCCAGTTGATGAGAGTGGCCAAACTGCAGTACAGCCAAGAGATGTTTTCCCAGGCCCTGGAAACGCTGAAGCAGGTTTGTTTTGCCCCTTGTGGTTCTTGCCATTTTCCTTTTCCTCATCCCAGATCAACTCTCTCCAAACACTTCCAAGTGCCTAAAGATTTCCCACCCTTCTGGCTCTTCAAAATGTCATCCACCAGTTCCCCCTCACATCTCTCCCTACAATCAGTTCCTTAGGCAAGACCAGTAAAATGAAATTATGGCCCATTGCTGCTTACACAGTTTTCAGGGGTGACTTCCTTTAATATCCGTTGTTGGTAATTACTGTTCAGTAGCTGGGGGGTATCATTAATCACCCCTAACCTTGTAGGGCAAATAGCTATTACACTGCAGGAAGGAAAGACTATTTCAGTACCACAGCCTCTTTCTCATCTTCCTTTTAAAATATTGATCATGTTCTGCATCTAACTGAATGGGCAAGTCAGGAGAAGAATAAGTGGAAACCTGTTTCCATGTTGTTGATCATAAGGGAGGCATGTCTTTTGGGTAAGAGGTGCAAAATTCATTTGAGACATGCCTTGAAAAATTTAAACATCGTAATCTTAAATGGATGAGTTGATGCATAGAACAGCTGGTGTCTGCATTTTGATTTTTGATAAATATAATGGTCAGTTGCTGAACTTGACAATAAATTCTGGTGTTCAGCTGCTATACCTGAATTAGAAACCTCTACTATAAAGGCTGGAACTATGCACAGTGAATTCTGACAGATTTTTAATCCAGAAGTTTTTAGAAAAGTCATTGTGAATGAAAGGCATCAATGGAAGTACTGCATTTTGTATTCCCACTATTGCAAGAGGAATTCTAATTAAAATAAGAACAATTATGGATTTTAGGAGGATATGAAGAACAGAGCCAGTTATATTATTGAAAGACCTAACCAGACTTCATAATGTAACTTATTTGCAAGCAGATTCAAGATAAAAATTTCTACTAGTTGTGAAAATATTATGTGACTCAGAGAGCGACTTTCTATCCAAAACAGTGCTCAGAGTAGCTGGCAATAGTGAAATTGTTAATTTCAAAACCTTAATATAACTGTTTAAAAAACCCCTAAGACACAACTGTAGAGGTTTCTGTGAATCACACATTTGGGTTTCCTCTGTGCCCACACAGAGACCTTCAGAACATTCTAGAGCCTAAAAGAGTTTGTTAGTCCTCACTCTCTGTTCTGCGCATGTTCCCCATCCTGTAGTTAATCCTCGGATCATTTTTAGCTGCCACTGAGGTAGCACCTTGGGAACATACTCAGAGCCTCTGTTTCCCCTCACATTTGTATACAGTTCTTGCCTCCCGTTTCCTTACCTTTATTCATCAATCCCTTCTTCTTTGTTCCTTCTCTGAGTTTTGTCTATCTAAAAAAAAACCAACACCATTTGTTAAGCCATTGTTCATCATTCTGCAGCATTCCTGTTTTTTTATGGCCTCTGTAGGCCCATTCAAGAAGTGCACAGTCTGTTCAAACAAGATCCCACTCACAGATAGACACTCTAAGTGCCTCTGTTGCTTTGGTGAGAGGTACCAGGCTCAAAATTGCCAATTTTGTGAAAACTTTAACAGAGTAACCTTGAAAAACAGACAATCATTTCTAAAGCCCAATCTTTGGGGACATCGCTAAAAGCAGTCAATACAGCTAGTAGCCAGACTACTCCTGTACCATCAGTTTCGATCTGCAAATCCCTGTTGAAACAGGCCCTTATGGAGGCAATTCATTCTGAGTCTTTATCTCCCCAAATCTCTGACATATCATTGGAAGCTATAGACCTACAAAGCCTCCAAAACTAAGGACAAGTGTAGCTTCTTCCCACCGCACTGACCTTACATCTACACAGTCAGCTTTGAGATCACCAGACCCAAAATGCAAATGCCACTCTGCAATTCCAAGGCATAAACATCACTTTCCAGCTTGGGGGGCATGTGAGCTAAAGGAACCTTGTCATCTCCCACATGATACCAGCCATTCACAATCCCAGTCGGTTCCGAGGTCCCCTGTTCCAAAGCCTAAACATGCCTAGAGATCATCCACATTGAGAACAGGATGACAAACACTTTGGAAGTCTATGGAACCGTGTCCTTGTGACCATGTGTCTTCCACTGCCTTTCTATCCTCATGGTCTCTATCACCAAGAAAACATACACTTTCCCTTTTTGTAGCAGTTGTATTCTTATTTCTGCTAACAAATATCTCACTCAAATTGCAGACTGCAGATTACACCTCTGAAGGGAATTTGTCAAAGGCTATGGGGGATTACAATTAATTTTATCTCAGCTGATTTTCAGTACATTTCTAACAGGACTTTTGGAGAAAGCCATTTGAGTGTGTATAATAGTTCATAACAGAACTATATCCTTCAATAACTGCTAATAATTGAGTGAGATTTTTTTTTGAAAAGTGCTTCTTCATATTGCCTTGGTTTTATTTAACAGGCGCATACTAATCATCATGAGTATGTTGTGGCCTGCAATTCCAGAGATTTCTGTGTGAAACAGATTATATTGATCCGTTTCAGTCTGGTTCTGGGCCAGATTTGAGTCAGTCTCTGTGGCTTTTATGGACGACCTCTACTAAGGCATTCTGAAAAGGGGGAATTCTTCCCTGTAGGTTGTGCTGGGTATCTCAGAAGCTTTCAACACCATCAGTCACTCTGTCCTGGGAATGGGACTCTAGGGCACCATTCATTTACTGAAGGCCTGTTTCAGAAGGTGATGCCAGTAGTTTTATTTATATCCTTTAATCAACATCTTTCTGTCCTGCCATTCACAGAAGCCTCAGGGTAACACATAATGAGAGGAAAACAAAATGAGCCAAATATCTGTCTCAATAATGTTTACATATAAAGGAAACCTCTTTTATTTCAGTGTCTCTTTGTTATTGCAAAATATTATTTAGGGGGGTCCCAAAATGAACTCCATGTTTAAATATACTCCCATAGAAAGCAATGGAAGCCAATATTTTATTTATTTATTTGATTTCTATCCCGCCTATCTGGTCTTATTCAACCACTCTAGGCGGCTAATAATACAACCTCACTACAAAACTCACAATGAAAACTAGCAAACCAGGAAGGCTCCTAGCCTAAAAGTCTTGTATCACATGACAAAAATGAGGCAACTAGCCTTACAAAGAAAACTGGTAAATCAAACAAGAATTCATGCTTACAAAGAGCATAGCATATAGTGCATGAAGTCTCTTTCTAAGTGAATGCAAGCCAGTGTAGTATGTGAAGTCTTCTGGTTAAAACTAGGAAACTTGTCTCTTGGCATATTCTCAATCTACATCAGTCCCCTCCTGGGAAAAACACAAAGGAACATAAACATTAATCCCTTCTGCTCCAGAGTGATGCGTAATTCTTTCTGTCTGTGCTTCATTTGAACTGGTTCTTTCCAGCTTGCCCTGTGCGTTATTAACAGCATGCATGATTAAATTTTTAAAAAATGAGTTGCACTTCCTAGGCATTTGTCCTTCCTTTGCTGTCTCTAACAGGCATTCGTTTTAATCAAGGGACAAAGGAGAAACGGAAATGATTTCCCCAAGACCCTGCCCTTCGCTTTGTAGTCCAGCAGCACGATGGAGTTGACTTCTCCCTTTCATCATGACTTAGTAGTGCACTGACATATTTGCATACTGTTACATGTGTCTCTAATGCTAGGTACCCTGCCCAGTCTCAATGCAAATCAGATGCAAATGAATGTATTAGGCTTTTATTTGCATTCGAAGGCACATTCATACCAATTATCTAATGGCATTCAATTCTTGAGCAAGAAATGCTGTGGCTTTGCTATTTGTATGTTCCTATTAAAAGCAATTCCTGAGATGATGGGAGAGGCGTTGCCTCTGCAGAGCCGCTTATTAACTTCCACTGACATCAAGTGCTGTCATTATCATTGTAATATTTTTCCTAATCATTGCACATGTGTTTTCTGCATAAACAACACGGATACCCCAAAGCATACATTGTACAGAAATGTCTGGCTACCACTGAAATGAAGAGGCAAGCCTCAGGTAGCAGCAAATCACGCTCTAGGTGCACCATTACAGAAAAGGTTCTGCTTTGTGCCCATTGACCTCTCAGTTTCACAAATGGTAAGATATATGAGGGTTAAAACAAGTTTTCTGGAAAACACGTCTTTCTGTTCTTACAGCGCTTGCCCTCTAGGAATGGAATCTTCTTTGTCATGTGTACTTCAGCAATCAGATCTGCACAGAAATTCAATGTTTACATCCCAAAGATGAAGCATTTCAGGTTGCACTCCTGCTGTTCTTGGGTTGCCCAGCAATTATCTGTAGCTATGGGGCATATTGTTGGCATCAGCTTCATGCTCTGTCACAGCCAGGAACCAGACTCCTGACTTATCTTCCAAGGAGATTGATATGGGGAGAAAATGTCATGGGCAAGGGAGCAAGGAGGCCCATTCCCCTCAAGATCCTGAATTTATTATTTTAATATATGTAATATACACAGTGTAGGTGCTATGCATATGAATTATAGTAACTTGCAATTATTAACACACAAACACACCAGACAATTCCTGTGGACAAATTTTGGGAAATGGCTTTTTTAGGCAATATACACACAAGCCATATGGTTTGAAGAGTAAGACTAGAACTTTGAAGGAAGCAAGGATGATGAGGGGAAACCAAGTCCCATGGGAAAAGAGTGAAATAATTGGGTATGTTTAGCTATGAGTAAAGAAGACTCAGAGGAGCAATGATAGCACTCTTCAAATACTTGAAAGATTGTCATACAGAGGAGAGGCAGGATCTGGTCTTGATCAGGATCTGGTCTTGACCAGAGTGCAGGACACATAATAATGGGCTCATGTTATAGGAAACCACATTTCAGTTAAATATCAGGAAAAACTTCCTGACTGTTAGAACAGTGGGATAGTGGAACCAAGAGGTGGTGAACACTCCAATATAAGAGGCATTCAAGAGAAAATTCGACAACCATCTCTCAGATCTGCTTTGATTTGGATTCTTGCATTGAACAGGGGTTGGGACTTGATGGCTTCACAGATCCATTCCAACTCCATTATTTTATTATTCTCTATGATTCGATGATTTCAACTGGTACAGGTTCAAGGATGAAAGCTGAAGCGGCACGGGCATAAAAAAACAAAACAAAATAAAATAATGCATATTGTCCAGCACAGTTCAGAGCACAATGTAGAATATTACTTCTAAAGATTAATTACTTACAGCTATAGTTCTCTGACCAGTAATTAATTAACATTAATTGGCTTCTTTTTAAGGAGAAAAGCAGGATAAAAATTGTTTAAATAAATAAAATAAAAATATTAATTACAATGATTAAAGATAATCTTCTATTGTTTCTCAAAATTAATTATAAAATAGTAACTTTCTACTTAACTGTTAGAAAAACCTGGATGCCACAAGCTGCCAACTTGTACTGTCAAACACATATCCCAGTCCACCTTACAGCACAGCCAGCAGACTGTAAGGTGGCAGCAGCTGTAGTGGATTTTAGAAGAAGGGGGCATTTGCCTTTTGCCTTCCCTTAAACAGCTTTTTACCTATTTTTATGGATTTTGGGATTTTTAGTGTTTTTGTATTTTAATAAAATTATTGCCTCGTCCTGTGGCATTCCTCCTCCATCATATAGTGAGATCATACTCTTGTAATTGTAATAAAAAATAAAAAGTTATTGTTACATCAAAAAAGAAGTTAAATCATTCCTTGATGATGTTTAAGGTAAATTAGCTTTCCAATAGGAAAAAGACGTTAATTGCTAAGTAACTAGTAACTAATTATTTGTAAATAACTGATTCAAAGCTCTGGTCTAAAAATGATGGATGGTTTGTCTTTCTTTTCATTTTAACTTAAGGCTTATGATATTATGAAAGTGACCCATGGAACAGAACACAGCCTAGTCCACGACTTGATGATGCTGAAGGAAGACTGTGAGGCTGGCCTGCTGTCAGAATGAAGAAGGCTTGCAAACTCTGCTCTCCAGGTGAAGAGAGTGTCTCCCTGTATATTGCAGGGACATTTTCTTATATGCTAAACATATCTGACGGATGAGCTAAGAAAACGTTCCAGATGTTCTCTTGTATAAACACAATGGCCGAAATCCTTTTGCTTAGTGTAGTAAAATCATACTAGAGCAAGCCCACTGAATCAATGGGGATTTAGTGGGCCAACCCCTGTGAAAAGTCAAGTGATTCAAGTGGGCCTGTTCTAAAGGAAGTTGCCATTAGGCCCATATGAATCAATGGAATGTATGGAAGTGCTGACTCACCAAATCCCCATTGATTCAGTAGGACTGCTCTAGTGAGATTACTACATTAAGCAACAAGATTTTGCCCCATATTGTTGCTTCTGTTTATTAATGAAATAATGTTCCTCATTTGTTGAAATTCCAGCAAATATATCTTCCCTGTAGTGCAAATAAGCTTTCAAAAAGTGTGAACAGTTGTTTCTGAGGGTACAATTTACTATTAAAATAATATAATATGCAAATATCTGTAAGTATCTTCACTGACCATCGTTCTTAAGTTACATTACCATAATCCTTTTGATAAAATGGGCATACATTTAAAAGCATACATCCATATTCTTCTGAATGCCAGAAGTACTATCCTACTGTTGGGTGCCCTGAACACACCTGATCTTTAGCAAATTTCAGATGCTAATCAGCCTCAAGCTCGGCTAGTATGCAAACGAAAACTGCTTTGGAATGTCAGGATAGGAACAGGATCTTGCCTAAAACCCTGGTAAGCCACTGGCATTCAGTATTGACACCACACTGGGTAGAAAAGCCAGACGTCTGACTCCATATAAGGCAACGTCCTGAGTTTCCAACATTTCCTAAGCACCTGAACTCAGTTTTAAAAACTAACTTCACTTACCTTGCTCTGTTCTCCCCACATTATTTCCAGATGTGGAATATTTCTCTGTATTTACATCTTTTTCCTATTTTGTTTTGCCTATGATTTATTTGTTAATCACGAACTGTGCAGATGCAATTTCAATCCAATTTTATAAAGATGAACATTGATTGGGCTTCCTGGTCATCAGATTTAGTAGTGTGTGAGCGAGATTAGTATATTATGGCTTTTATGGAATACAGAAAAGAGGAGGTAGTTCTCCCACTAAACAAGATCAGTCCTCAGAAGCTTCAGTCCCAAACATGCTTATAAAAGGGTAAGCCCAATTGGATGTAATGGGGCTTCCTTCCAAAGAAACACACACAGGATAGAGCCAATGGTCTAATTCTTTTGTCTTTCAAACACAGATGTTGAGCCTTGTTCTTTTACCTAAGAAACTGATTTCATGTACAGTAATTTTGGGAAACAGGTAACTAATTGATACCATATGCAAGCAGTAATCCCCAGACGTTCATCATGCCTTCTGTAATTGGAAGATTTCTAGGAATCAATGAACTTCTGCATTCTACAACAGGCCCCTAGAAATTTGAGCAAAGATTCTTGCTAATCCTTCTTGAGTTTGAAGTAAACAATCCATGGCTTAATGCAGCTTCCTATATTTCTATATAACAATACTGTCTTTAATGGACAAGTGGCTGCCACTGGATGAGGTACTTAGGCCAGTACTTTAGGCCTTACTTTTAGCCCATAAACAGACATTAGAGCAAGGGTATCTCATGAGTGGGACACAAGAAATGTACAGGTGAGGTAACCCTCCATCACAGCCCATGTCATTCTTGTGTTGCAGCCAAATACTTATCGCAAAGCAGAAACCATGTATGTGCTTCAAAAGACTCACCCAAGGTGTGTGTCTCCCACTATTCTCTCTCAAAGATTTACTGCTGTCTCCGTATCATTGGCTGTCATTTCATTAACTTCAAACCAGCTTCTTCACGTCTATAATGTGATGCCATGCATTACAATGTAATGAGAAGAGATTTCCAAGGAAAGGAATACTCTGGACACAATTTACAGCCACAGTAC